GGGTGTGCGCGAGGTACAGAGCACAAACATGACTTCAAGAAGCTATGTTCTTCAAAAAGCACAGACATGACTTCAAAACGCTATGTTCTTCAAAAAGCATGTTCTTCAAAAAGTACAGACATGACCTCAAAAAGCTATGTTCTTATGTTGTTTAGTCATCCTCCTTGTTTGCATATGCTAAAAGGTGATGTACTTTTTCATGTGCCACGTGTCTTACCTATCTACCGCCTCAAGACAAAACATGGATTAGCCCTTAGCAAATCGTTGATCTCTGCGACCACCCACTCGTTCTCCTCTCTCTCTAGCCCCCCCCCCAAACACATAATCTCTGTACTTTGACAGGAATACAGTTTATTGCCATGCTCTGCGACTCGATGTTCATTAAAGGCTGCGGGTTCCATGGCTTGAAAAAAAAAGGATGGGGTTTTGGCAAATTGGAATGGGGGTATCTAAAGGGGGTATGGTATGAAGGGGGGGTTATGGCGGGGCTTGCATCACTTGTTTTTTCGCACTTCAATTTTTTCGCACGTTTTTTTTTTTTTTTTTTTTTGCAGTGTTGTGGGAGGCGAGTGGTGTGGGGGGTGAGTGGGGTGTAGGGGCCTCAAAAAATGGATGTGCTTCCACCTCTTCACGAGATTGGAGCAGGCCCTTGCTTGTGGGGGGGGTGATGTAGAGGTTGGGTTTTTTGTTTCGTTTGGCGTGGGGGGGAGTGGGTGTTAGGGGGGGGATGTTGGGAGGGCTTGGGGTTGGGCGGGGTTTGGGCGGGGGTCGGGTGGTTTGGGGGGGGTGGGTGGGGGGTTGGGGAGGGGGGATGCGGGGCATTTGGTGATGGGCCACGTGTCCGAACCCCCACAGACTAAGCCAATTTGAGAGAAGAATATAGCTCAGTTTATTAAAAAAAAATAGAAAAAAAAGTCCTGCTGACCCTGCATGTGCAACCAGAATTGCCGGGATCGGCCTCAGAAAAAAAAAAAAAGAGTAGAAACGTTTCTAGTCGAATGAATTTGGGCGATCCTGCAGTGGCCCACACGTTTCCTAAAATCATGGCTTGTTTACGGGCACGACTTTAGGAAGTACTAGTGGTTTATTCAGGTGACAAGACAGGTCCCTTCCACCAAAAAGTGAAAAGAAATCTCCCTACCTACTTCCCTTCCCCCCAATCTTTCCCTCAAACCCCACTTCCAAGATGCCTTTCGTCCCCCTCGTCCCCCTTCTCCCTCCCTCTCTCTCTCTCTCTCTCTCTCTCTCTCTCTCTCTCTCTCTCTGTGTGTGTGTGTGTGTGTCCAACCCCCTCCCCTTCCCACGTGGCTTTCTTGCCCCTCTTTCCCCTTCCCCTTCATTCCATACCTCTGTGATGACCTCTGCCATGAGAACCCCTTTAAGATGCACACAGAGCAGTTGGTGGGCATTAGGGAAAGTGCCACCAAAAAAGCATACCCATTTGCAACACTTGCAATTTTCGACCTTCGGCATTTTCCATGCCCAGGAGTACAATTTGTTTTACAGCCACAAGAAAGCATTCAAAAAGAGAGCGCACAAGTGAACTAGCACTACGTGTGACTTCAGCATGGCGAGATTCAGATCAGACAGGGAACAGCGAAATTGACAATGATCACATCTTGATTGATGGACAAAGCAAACTCACTGAGGTAGACGAAACAAACGACAAAGTTTCTGTCAAAATAGAACACAAGTGCCGGTTAGAAAGAAGCAAAATATCAGCAGCGCTGCACACGCAATTACACATGCTGGAAAAGCAGGAAAAGCAGCACCGAAGAGGTTCTCAGGAGAGCAAGAGAATTGTGGAAATTAAACGTAACTAGATAAATGACGTAAACAACTATTTTTGAAACGTAGAAAAGGTCGAAAACTTCTGTACAAACTTTGTGTGCCTTTGTTTAAGCATGGAATCCAAAGGAATAGGGTGAGCGTACCTCCTCGTTCCCAATCACCGGCAAACTGCGTGCCATTTCAAAACAACCCTCACATCTGCCCATCTGACCTCTCACTCACTCACCCACACATATTCCCCGTCCCCTTGCACTCTCCCAAAGGACACAGAGCAACTTCACTACACTTCACATGCATGATTTGTCGAAGGGACACGTGAGCTGGCGCGGAAATAAGAGAGAAAAAAACTCTAAACGCAAAGACCAACCTCTACTTCAGAAGGGGACGGGTGTAGCTCGATTCCGCCCCACAAGCTTTCTCCTGATACCGCCTCATTTCTTGCAAGTAGGAAGAGGGCTTCGGTGGTGCTGCACGATCAGAATCCATCTTTGCTCTCTTGGCGTCAGGCCCGCTTTCACCATTGCCAGACCTCCATTGCACCTTTTTTGGCTCAATCGGCATGATTGGCCTGACCCAATCAATCCAGGGAGAGGCGGCACGATAGAGTTCAAAGACCACAACCCCAAGGAAACGGTTGACGACTCATCCGTGAGAAAACTTTTTTCACTTATTTAGATTCCCTCGCAGGAAGGAGATTGAGAGAACAACTTGTTCATCAAATCCTCTCAAAAAGTGCAGGGAACAGGAACAGACAGGAGGGCGATAATTGTGTGGAAGAGTTCGAAGGGAGGATGAGGCACTGACATAACCAGGGGGCCATGTAAAGAATCACCCAACATACAAAACCTCACCTTCAGAAAAGAACCTCGCTGAAAATCGTATGAATGACACAGCAAGAAAGCAGGGACACAATAACGCACAAAAATATTTCTGATACTCCGCACTTGAATCCAACTTTCAAATCCCATGAAGCTTGATGCAGAGAAACGGAGAATGCCCCCAAGGAAAGTTGAAGAGTAAAACGTTCACCCCTCCAGATAAAGGGCACGGCAGAATGATGGTTCATTTTGGTCATACCCCCCTAGTACAAGGGAGATTAGCCTGACGACACACACACACACGCACACACACATGCAAGTGCACGCGCGCGCACACACACACACACACACATGCAAGTGTTCGCACACACACACACACACACAAGCATGTGGGGGCGTGTAATCATGTGCACATTTGTGCTCTTTTATTTATTGATGTTCGCGACAGGAATTCGAAAGCTAAATCAACCAGAAGATAAAGGCCTCCGACACAGGTTTCTAACACCAAGCTCAATGTTCTCCACACAAAATGTCAAGCACATCCATTCATGTGGAACACGCCAGACTGGTTCTCATTGGAAAGTTAACATGTTAGAGGAGAGAGGAGAAAGCAGAAAATGTTGTGGCCGCAATACGACTGGCAGTATATACTATATATACTTACTGGTGTAGCAGGACCTGAGCCCGCGACCATTAGGTTAAAAGCCCAATGCCCTACCATCTTTCCATACCTTGTCTCATGCAGCAGTTCTAATGGCCGGAACAGGTATCATAAAACATTGACTAGCCAAACCAGCAGCTCCAGATGTCACAGCAGTCTGTGCCCAAAGGAACCAAGGTGGCCAGAAGTGCATAGAAACTTCGATTGGAAATCTCTTACCTTCTGTGGACAAAACTCTCTCTCTCTCTCTCTCTCTCTCTCTCTCTCTCTCTCTCTCTCTCTCTCTCTCTCTCTCTCTCTCTCTCTCTCTCTCTCCCCCCCCCCTTTCCGTGGCTCTACCGAGTCCCTATGCCAGTTTCTCCCTGCCAGTATTTCCTTTCATCTCTCTCTCTCTCTCTCTCTCTCTCTCTCTCTCTCTCTCTCTCTCTCTCTCTCCACGCTTGCAAACAGTAAAAAAACAAACTAATAACTGGGAGCTGCAGTTGCTCTCCACTTATTCCCCTATCTTTGTCCCTCAGATATCACACTTGTCTTTTCTCTTAATTATGCAATCCTCCATATTTGTGCATTGACCTGACCCTACTTGTCCTCCTTCCGTTGCTCCCGTTTGTCCCGACAGAGTGAGAGAGAGAGGGACATGGTATCGAGCTACTTTTCTTTCACTGTCATTCATACATCCACTCTCCAGTTCCTTTAACTGCTTGGATCACCTTCTGACAGGAAAAGCCACATAGGCTTCTCATCCTTGTATGATAAACCTAGGCCCCTTCACTGGAAACTGAAGACGGAAAACGAGACCCTCCTAGGCTCCTCTCAATATCTCTGTTATTTCAATCAGAATGATTTTAAGCCACGTACCCCTTGAGGCAACAGACATAATATACAATCAATTTGATCTTCGCCTGCTTGACGAGGGAAGAGAAGGGGGCAGGTGCAAGGAACAGGACAGACAGGCAGGGGGACGGAGGAGGAAAGAGGCAATTGGGGGCGAAGCGGGAGGGTGCGATGACAATGGCAAACGTCCTCAGAGAGAGCGCCAATCTTCTGCAAACTAAAGATGAAGAAAAAGAAAACAGTGTGCTAGACTCGCATATCCGTTACGCGTGACTACTGTTTTCAGGTGAAGGTTGGTTTCCTCTTGCCCACTCCCATTCTTTAGAGAGATGCAGAGAAAAAAAGGAAGAGAAAAACTTCCTAGAATCTCCTATCTCTGTTGCTTGTGACTTTTGTTGCTGAGATAAGGACTATACATGTGTGTGTGTGTGTGTGTGTGTGTGTGTGTGTGTGTGTGTGTGTGTGTGTGTGTGTGTGTGTGTGTGACAGTCTTCCCAGGATGCATCTGACTGATGGATACGAACGGTATGCATGCATACGCATGTGTGTTCTATAAGGTCACCTAATATCAGAACCAAAATCACCCAAGAATCCATGCAAGGTTTAGAAAATCGCATAGCCTCCCAAAGTTTGTTTGGTTTATTGCCAGGTGCTCTCACACCTGTTTGTCCATGTGTGCGTCTGCGCGCCTGTTTTATAGGATCACCTGATATCATCACCAAGTTCCCCCAGCAAGCCTCCAGTGATAAAAAGATGGAGAGTGCAAGACTGGCCACGTTGACGCGGTTGATGAAACCCTCCTTGAAGCCACAACCGAGGAGGGGAAAACAAAACTGAAAGCGCAAGACCAGCCACGTTGGTGCGGTCGAGTGTTGGGTGCCCAGAGACCCTCTGCCAGAAAGGCAACAGTTGCGCATCGGCCAATGACCAATTCGCACGAGCCTAAGTTGACGAAGCCACCTTCCAAGGCTCGTAACCCTCCAACTGTGCCTTTTCAACGTGGCGCCCGCCGTTTTCGCTACCGGCCCGGGCCCAAAGCCAAGCGCGCTTACCACTTATATACCAGTAAAAGCACTACTGAGGTTCATGCGAACTGGTGATTTACAGAAACAGGGCAGGCATGGGGAAACCAGCCTGCACCCAACAACAGAAGTCACGAGTCCATGTGTGACCATTCTCAGGGAAGCAAAGTCTCCCAGAACAAAGGCCTGACCATCCTACCATGCTAACACCGACGCACCACCATCTGCACCCACTCTACCTGCGCCAACTCCCCGCAGGAAAGAAAAACAGCATGCGTGGATGGCATCAGAAAATCCAATGCCTGTAGAAATCTGACACCCCCACAAGGGTTCCAAAAGCTCTGTCCGCAGGAATCGGACATGCGATAAAAGCCCTTCGCGCCGCCGATGAGCATTCCACAAATCAGGCATAGCACTACCGGTAGTAATACGTCCCAGTATCTGCCGCACCAATGGTAAGCTACAGTACTGGTACGAGGTCATCGTACCCATAGGTCGTACTTGGCCTGTTTAGTGGCAACGTACGTAATGCTGCTGGTGGTCCTGGTGATGCTGATGGTGCTGGTGTTTCCTGACACACCGGTGATGCTGCTCGCAGGAGTGATCATCGTCAATCTGTAGTAATAGTAGTTGTGGTGGTGGTAGTGGTGTCGTAGTTGTAAAGAGTAGTCGTAGTGGTAATAACAGTAGCAGTGGTGGTGGTGGTGCTAGTGGTGGTCCGCGCGGTTGTGGTAGGGGTGGCACTTGTTTCAGCCCTCCGCACTAAGTGTAGCCGGTCATAGACTTAGTAGTAGGAGTTGAGTAGTAAATCCGTCCAATTGGGAAACAGTCAACGCCAAAGGGGGGGGGGGGGGAGAGAAACGAGAAGAAGACAATTAGTAGTAGGTAGTCATGTAAGTAGACTCTTAGTAGAGGTAGCAGTCGCAGTAGGCCATGGTAAGCCCTACGACCGCCTTCACCTGAATATATGCATTTTTTTCTGGATGAAGACGGTGCTTGGCCACAGGTCACCCTAGTAGGTCGTCCAACTACCTTCTTCCCCCGAACATAACGCATCTGCATTGTATTCGAAATTTAGGGCTATACAAATAGAACGCATGTGTTGTATTCGAATAGAACACACCCTCTGCGTTCTATTCTTTTACAACGCTTATGTTCGGGGGAAGAAGGTAGTATAAGTGTACAGGTCACACTAGAAGGTAGAAGGTAGTAGGTGGTGGTGGTGGTGGTGGTGGTTGTGGTTGTGCACAATTGTACTGCCGTCTTCACCCCAGCAGAACGCCCGGTCATTATAGCTGAACTTAGGCCAGCCCGGTCATTATAGCTGAACTTAGGCCAACTCTCTGTCTTGATACCGCTATAATGACCGGGTGAAACCGGAGTCCTGGTAGTAGCGCGATGATCGTCGTTAGTGCTCCCGGTAGTAGCAGGGTGCAGCACGTCGTGCTGGAAGCAACTGCAGCGATAGGCTACAGTAGACTGCGGTCGGTCCCACCGGGGGCTAGGTCCCACTTGCACGAATTAAGAGATAGAGACCGTAGATAGCCGAGATCAAACGGCCGAAATCTCCTAATCCGTGCAAGTGGGACCTTGCCCCGGGGCACTGGTGGTAAGGCCGTACTCGTGAGATTCCGACGAATTTTTCGACTGAGGGCATTGCTCACGCTAGGACTTTTTCGACTCAGCTCCGGATGTGATTGCGGTCAGATGCTTCCACACACGGCCGTATTTGCAGTCGGGTACACATTTCAGAATTCAGAAAGTGCCCGTGCAAGCATGCCCGGAATCTTTCCGTCGCAACGGCGCCGCTGGGCCGGTAGAGCCTTTTGAGGAAAACAAACGAGCGCGGTGCGAATAAAGGGGCGCGCGCTTTAGAAGTCGCTCCACTACTGGACAAAAGACAAAAATCACGGCGGCGGTGTATCTTTCCATGTTCTAGCGGAAGATTCACTCTCGTTTTGCACATTTCGAGAGTAGTAGAGCGAGGCCCTTTTTTCCCCCTTGAGGGCTTCTCTGTCCTGACGAGGGCGGGCGGGCAACGGGACTGTGAAAGCGGCCGATGCGGCGGCCTTCCTTCGTTTTGGACCGTAGATTACAAGGGTCGAGATCGAGGGCTGGTTATACGGCAAGATCCAAGGCTTGGGGTAAGCGGGACCTTTCTTCGTTACGGTCCCAGATCGAAGATACTACCAAGTGAGGACCATGGCTCAGGGGCCAAGTCCCACTACGTGTAGCAGCGTTGAACTACCTCAACGCCT